TGCTTTTGGGCTGGGAGGAACCCGAACGAAGCTACGCCGAGGGGCGGAGTCTCGTTCGGGGAGGTAAAACCAGCCCTGAGCCCATTTATACGGGTTTAATGGGCATATTTTTGGGCCGAGCCCACAGGCTCGGAGAACCCACAATAAATAACCGACCTTGTGTCACATGCTGCCCAAGTGTGGGGGGGGTGATTGAATATCGTCAGTCAGTAGTTCACTTTTGAACCGATTGTTCGGTTGAACTCTCTGCCTTCGGGCGGGGAGGAACCCGAAAGTGGCTACGCCGAAGGGCGGATTCTCATTCGGGGAGGTAAACCGACCCTGAACCCGTTTATAAGGGTTTAATGGGCATATTTTTGGCCGAGCCCACGGGCTCGGAGATCCCACGGGCTCGGAGATCCCACGGGCTCGGAGATCCCACGTTAAAAAGGCCTTGTGCCACATGACGCTCTCGTGGGTGTGGGGGGGGGTGACTGAATATCGTCAGTCAGTAGTTCAAGTCGAGTCAAGAGTCGAGTCAGAGGCAGTCCGAAACAGTGTCGCGTTCAAACGATTACTGCAAGACATTGGAATAGTAATACTGGTCGAGACTACATTGTTCTCTCTACTAAACCTGATTGTTCATACTAACACTTTTACTTCTCTGTATATATTCCTGTTTGTAATATATCTGTGTTATTCCATACCTGTGTTCGCGTTCTTCTTCATTGGTTCTACCTTGGACTATCACCGTGGTACAAGGAACCGGACCATAACAACTTCATACCCTCATCGCTGAGGAGAGAAAGATCCACTCGGATAGCTTTTTCCCCAGAATTGTTGCATTGAGAAAGAGACCCCCGACAGGATGATTCTCTGATCACTACAATCTTAGTTAAGTTTTCAAGTTTAAGGTTAACCATTATCTATCCTAAATATCCTCTCAGTATACACTTCTTACTCCCTCCGTGTACACTCTTACAAAAAAACAAAAACAAAACAAACAAAAAAACAAAAAACAAAACAAAAGCTAAGTAATCCTCTAGTTTGAGTGGCTCTTGAGCTTGTATCAAGTGAACGGTAGTAAAAGAAACCCCTTTGTTTAATATCAAACTTATTATGAAAACATTGGCCCCCAAATTATAATAATACTTGTCCGCGAAGACATTAAAACTATTCTCTTGAAAGAGTAGTATTTTATTCGAAATTGATATGATTGGTTATCTTGAATATATCCAATGAATATAAAATATAGACATAAATGTTAAACATTTCGTTTTCGGTGTTTGAGACTCGCAAAAAAGACGGAGGCGGAGTTTTGTAAATTTCCTGAAATGAACTTTCTAGGTGATAACATATGAGTCTGTGTCAATACTGAAGACGCGTCATACACAAGGCCGTATTATGAAATAATGTTTGTTTGGCCCAGATCATTTTTTACATGAGTACATAAAGCACACATACAAGGGTGGATCGTAAAGTTTATAGGCAAAAATTTTGTCCCTCTATAATGTTTGATCTATCAGTAAATTAAGTGCATTGACAAGGAAAGTGATTACGTTGAAAAATAAATATCTTTGTGCAAAATAATTTACTCATAATAAGGCAAGAGATTTATTGATTATATTCATACACATCTATCTATCTATCTATCTATCTATCTATCTATCTATCTATCTGTTTGAATTATTCTGTACATATCTATCTATCTATCTATGACCTTTTCATATCTATCTATCTATCTATCTATCTATCTATCTATCTATGACCTTTTCATATCTATATCTATCTATCTATCTATCTATCTATCTATCTATCTATCTATCTATCAAGGTACAGTAAAAAAAAAAAGATGAAAAAATTCAGTTAAATGCGAACTTTGGGAATCAAAGTTCTTGAGGTGACGGATATTCTTGAAATGCATTCCCCACTTTCTGAGATTGATTATGTCATTGTTACAATGTCAGCCAGTCTTTTTCTATCATTTTTAATAAGTTTCTGGCAGTAGTGACCATTCTTCTTGGCAAAACTCACACAATTACTCGATTTAACCTGTGCTTCTTGCCTGCACTACATTCTTTCTCTTGAATCCTAAATTTTCAATTGGGTTTAGATCAGGAATTTGACTCGGCCGTTTCAAGACTTGAAATTTCTTTTTACAAACCCATTCTTTTTAGGATTTGCTTTGATGCTTCTTATTGGAAGTGCCAAACTGAGCTAAAGACAACGTTTGAACTGAGGACAGCTTGATAAAAAATCTTTGAAAGTTGCTGTGAATTGATTTAATAAAGTTTTTCTTAGTGAATATATAGTTTAATAAAGATTTGTTGAATATCTGGAAAAAAGAGACCATTATTTTAAATATTATCTTAGGGTTCACTTAATTTTGCACAACACTATATATATATATATATATATATATATATATATATATATATATATATATATATATATATATATTATTATATATATATATATATATATATATATATATATGTAGAGAGGGGAGTGAGAGAGAGAGAGTGAGTGAGAGAGAGATTTAAAAACTACCAGACTAAGATGTAGTTTTATTGTCAGTGATGTATTTATGGATATAATTAAAGTGTATACTTCATTGACATTTAAATAAATCATTTCATTCGAAGAGAAATAATTTAGAATATTGCATCTTTTTCTGTGAGCAATGGGGTGATCCTGATTGAAATTGTCACTTCTCTCTGATATCGAAGACCTTTTTTCTTTTCTTTTTACATCCATACAATTTTAATTACACGCTGAATGCTTGTAAAATTTGAAATCTACACACGTTGCAAATTATACGAACCCCTGATCTCAACTTCATTGCTCGTTTGAGTCATCTCAACTGGCTTAAAAAGCAAAAGTCGAGCTTTTGTTCAACTTGTTCATTTTTTTAAATGCATATTTTTTGACGCGACGATCTCAATATGAAAAGGAAAGCATGATTTGAAGACAAGGTTTTAAAGGAACTTCTTTATACCCTTTCTACTTTACAGATTTTGGGTCTCAAGCCAAGACTTTCCCCCATTGACCTCAACTCGCTTAAAATGTCGGAGTATCCTATTTTATTTTGAGTTTGTTTGTGTTGTTTCTTGACAATCATGGCAATTTTTTTCCCAGTACGTTCGTCTCACAGATGACTAAGTATAAAATGGGGCAGCGTCTCGGCTGTTTTGTACAGAAGCAACACACACACACACACACACACACACACACACACACACACACACACACACACACACACACACACACACACACACACACACAGAGGCATTCGTAACGCAATAAACTCTTCTCCTGTGACAATCCAGAATCTAAACACATTTGTTCGTTAATTGCCGCTTCTTTTTATGCGCATACATGTGTGCCGCCATTGACCCGAGGAAAGGCAGACGCCTAACCAGCAATGACATAGTCAAAATAATCGATTTTTATTGATGACTCTTTTGCTATGATTATCTTCTACTATATACAATTTTGTATTTCCACCAGTGTTTTATGATTATGGAGAAATATTTGGGATGAGTCCAAAATGGTTAAATTCAAAACATATATATATATATATATATATATATATATATTATAATTATTTTATTTTTTTAAAAATATGATTCCATCGCGACACAATCTTAAATTGTAAATTTAATTATAAAAACTAAAATTAAAATCCAGAATTTTGTTTCATTGTCAATCGATGTTAGGAATAACTTTCTAAGAAATTTGCTTAATTTATAAGCGCAGACAATATTTTCAGTTGTTAAGGTTAAGGAAAATTCAATCTCTTTTGATTAGGGGTGGTTGGGTTTTAATTCCCCTAGACAACTTATGTATCAAATATATGTCACTTACAAAGTCAAGTTAAGTTTAGGTGGGGTGGGGGGTACCTGCTCAAAACACCAACATCTTTTATTCAGCCTCTCGTCTCGGTTTACAAATTTAGTTTCAATTTTGAAATATAGAAATTCCTGTGTCAGGATGGAATCATATATATATATATATATATATATATATATATATATATATATATATATATATATATATAATATTTTTGAATGGCCTGATGATTACGTTTAGCATGAAACTTCACTGTTCACTTTTATATTTACATACGCTTTTTCATTCTCGCTCTCTCTCTCTCTCTCACACACACACACTATATATATATATATATATATATATATATATATATATATCATGTCGGCTCAAACAGTATCGAGAGGTTAAAAAAAGAAGTGCCAAACTGGTTTGCCTCTCATATTGAATGAAGCCGCTGTACGTCTGACATAGAAAGATGGTTAGCAAATCTTGAAGTCTGTTAGATTATAACTGGTTGCCTCAATGTTGGGTTCTTGTGCCAAACTAAACATAGAAAAAAAAACGCTTGTCATTTGCAAAGCCGAAAACGATTCGGTTTTAAAAAGGATAAGCAGAAAACACACAAACGATCAAAATTAATGTTGATATTTACAGATTGAGAGAAAAACTCAGTCGAAAATGATAACTTATATTTGAAAAGAAAAAATAGTGAAAGACTATAAAAAAAAATGAAGAGTGAACCCATGAAAGAAAATGAAGATCCGTGACTATTGCAGACGAACACGAAATTATTTTGTCCAGACGGTTTTCTTTTTCGAAGTAAGAAAAACAAGTGTGAAACAATCGATGTGAGCAACTCAGTCGGGAAGAAAGGAAAAAGGCCGGTGACATTTAATCTTTGAGATACATTGGGTTATATTTTGGGCATAAAACATTTTCTTTTTTTCCGTATAATTACGTTATTCATCTTAATTATCAGTTGAATATAGATTATGATGATGATTCTGTATAATTTCAGATGATGATGATGTCCATTGTTGAAATGGAGAAAATGCGGCAAGTCAAATCTGAAGATGACAATGAGATAAAAAATATTTTCTATTCTTGGAAAATTCCAATTCCGATATTTTCATATTGAAAATTGAAGAGAAGACATAGGGACTCTTAAGTCATAAACATTTACATATCTAAGAAGAGGACAGAAGGACATCAAGGAAGGAAGGAAGGAAGGAAGGAAGAAAGGAAGAAACAGAGAAAGAAGAAGAAGAAATGAAGAGGAAGAAAGCGACTCAAATAAAGGGAAAGTAGAAGGAAGAAAAAAAAGCAAAGAAGGAAAAAAATTAGTACGGCATACGCATTAAAGAAAAAATAATAACAATAATAATAATATTGAAGAAGAAGAAGAAGAAGAAGAAGAAATTGAATAAATTACGTAGAGAGTGAGGCAAATGAAGGAAAAGTAGAAGAGGAAAAATGAGAAGAAGAAAAGCAAGGCGAACAAATGAAAGAAATATAGAAATAGAGAAAGAAACACCAAAAAAGAAGAAAAAGAAGAAGAAATGATGAAAAGGAATAAAAATACGCAAAAGTGAGAAGAAAAAGCAAGGCGGATGAAAGAAAGAAAGACTCATTGTAATGAAGAAGAAGAAGAGGAGGAGGAGAGGGAAGAGGAAGAAGAAGAAGGTAATTGAAAGGCAAAAAAGGAAGGTAAGAGGAGGGAAGGAAGAAAAGAAAAAAAGGCAGTGAAGAAGGAAAGCAAAAGAAATTCCTAAAACAATGAAGAAAAAGAGTATGTCATTTTCTCTTGTGCAAAGATATTCTTTGGCCAGTGAGCGAGGCGGGGTCGGTGCAGGGAAGGTCGTGGGGGGATTCACTCATCTCCACCCCTGCCAACTTTGCTGCAGTATTGATTAGAATGTCTGACAGATTGCAACGAGATTTACGCCGGAGATAAATCAGACTCAGATCAGATGAGGAAGATGATGAGAAGATTCGTGTAAAAAGAGGATTGATGACTGGAACAAAAAGAGCGCGAAACGTCGACGGTGACGTTGTTGTTAATGATGATGATGATGATGATGATGAGGATGATGATTTCTTTAAGGGAGGCGGAAACAATTCCGTCATTCATGAAAAAGACAAGAAAAAAAATGAAAAAAACAAACAAACAAACAAAAAACCCCCAAAAAACCCCAAACAGAGAGACAGCTGATAATATTGACGTTTAAAATAATGGCGATAATACTCCAAACAATGACGATAATAACTGCTGTACGAGGCAAGTGACAATAATGTTAAAATGGTTCTGCTCCCTTTTAAAAGAGGATAAAAATAAAAAGTCAAGAATGTAAATCTCAAATGAAGCAACTAATCCGTTTTTTAATTAAACCCGGATCAATTTTATTTTATTCCTGGCATATCGTCTCATAAATAAATAAAAGAATCAAGTGGGAAAAAAAACCCAGAATATATTGGAATTATTCTGAAGGTTGATTTCAAAAGAAGCGCCTGAATTTAAAATGAAAAAAAAAATTCCATAAAAACTTAGATCAGAACAGTTCGGAAATATTCATAAAAATGCAAAATTCTTCCAAATCCGCCTGGCAATGAAAATGAGATTTGAGAAGATTAAAATAGGATAAATAAGAAGTGGATTTTGATTCTGAAAATATGAGGAGCTCAAAGATCAAAAACTCGATGACCCCTAAATATTCAACGAGTGTTGACAACTAAGATTATCCATTATTTCACGTCTCTGCACTTCTCTTACCCTTTATCTGTATCTTCTCTTTCTCTCCCTAATCCCTTCGAAAACAACTAAAATTATCCATGATCTTAATCCTATGTACTTCTTCCATACTTTGCCTAGATCTTTTTATTTTTCTTCTATGTCTCTTCCAATTAAACTAAGATCATCCATTATCTCATAACTCTTCTCGATTGATAGGCCGTTAGACAAAAAGAATCAGCAAGCATTTTCTACCTTCTTTCGTTAATCTTTTTTTTTTTTTTGCCTACCTACTCCGATCCCTAATTTCACTTAAATCTTTCTCGATTAATATTATCATATGTGTTTCTCGGTCAGAATGTCTAAACTGAATAGAAGCCAGGAATGTTTTGGATCAAGCAGACACGAAACTCTGATTCTAGGTAGAAAGGAGTACATAACAGAGACTATCTATCTATCTCTCTCTCTCTCTCTATATATATATATATATATATATATATATATATATATATATATATACCCGACTGCGGGGTTGAATAAGCGATTGTACAGCAAACAAATGCTTGTTATTCTCACTTATAGCGAATGAAAACCTCGAATAACAATGTTATATATGTATTTTGGGGCATAGAATCAGAATCTGCCATTTAAAATTAGAAATTTATCGATAAGTGATAGTTATGCAAATTTTTATATTTTAAATAGTGAAAAAAGTTTTCGTACAGTATCAATTGTTGCATACGGTAGATTTTGGATGTACTTCAAAGTAGAAGATTCTAAACTGTTCTAGAATATTCTCAGTAACTCAAAATGAGATCATTCTGCAGTCACTGTTCAATGATAACGGTTCTAATAATGGCTAGATGTAAGGAAATGACTTGTGCTCAAAAAGAGCTAATTATTAAGCTATGGAACAATGGGAAAAGTTACAGAAACATCACCAATGACATGAACATACCTTTTTCAAGTTCATTTATTGCAAGATAATACTCTTGAGAACAAAGGCAGACCCGGTGCTCCCAGGAAGATCTCTCCTAGATTACGAAGAAAGTTGATGCGACAGGTCCAAAATAACCCAATGCCTATTAGACAAGACCTTCAGAATGATCTGAGTTTGTCAGGAGTTAACGTAACTAAGCAAACGATTAGTAATGAACTACGCAGAGACGGTATAAAGTCGTGCTCCCCAAGAAAGACAGCACTCCTTCTGAAACGTCATAGAGATGCCAGGTCGAAATTTGCGACAGAGCATAAAGATAAGGAAAATTCTTATTGGGAAAGAGTTCTTTGAACAGATGAGAGTAAAATTGAGTTGTTCGGTCGCAATTTCCTGTATCATGTTTGGAGGAAAGACGGCGAATCATACGCACCCAAGAACACTATACCAACTGTCAAATTTGGTTGGGGTAGTATCATAGTTTGGGGCTGCTTTTCGATGCGAGGTGTTGGCAAACTAGCAATTATAAACGGAAGAATGAATGCAGAAAAATATCAACAAATCCTAAGCGAAGATTTATCGCTTTCTGTAGAGAATCTTGGGCTTTCTCTTGATTGGATCTTCCAGCAGGACAATGATCCCAAGCATACTGCTAAGAGTACGAAGAATTGGCTTGCTAATAACAACGTTAACATCTTACAATGGCTCAGTCAGTCGCCGGATTTGAATCCAATAGAGAATTTATGGCGGGTTTTAAAAAATAAGATATGTGATAAAGGTCCAACAAACATCAAAAACCTGAAGACAATTACTCAGGAAGAATGGGACAAAATACCTACTAAAGTATGCGAATCGTTGATTAAAAACTACAGGAAGAGATTGGTTGCTGTTTAACTTAATAAAGGCTTTGCTACAAAATATTAAATAGAGAAAACATGTTTTTGTTCTGCTGTACGATCAGTTTTTAAACCCCTAAAAATTTAAATATTGCCATATTTTCTTAACCATGGATTATTATTTAGTTTTATATGCATGCATTTTTAGTATGTAATTTGATACAGTAGATATATTCCCGTTTTGTTAATTTAATATGTTACAAATAAAAATATGAAATATTTTCACGTGTACGATCACTTATTCAACCCCTCTATATATATATATATATATATATATATATATATATATATATATATATATATATATATATATATATATATATATATAGTGAAAGACGACTGACAAGGTACTGCAATGAAGCTTTTTATTGAAATTTTCTTGTGTTCATACAAGTGCTTTCTTTTCTTTTCTGGACACGCACTGTGTAAAAACTGTCCAAAAGTTCTGCATATCCGAGCGATTTCAGTATACTTTTAGCCATTATCAAGTATGATATTTTTTATGTCTAAAGTTATAGGAATGTTTTATTTTCCGGACACAGTCATCAAATATCTAAATCATCACATATCTAAATACACAATATATATACATACATATATATATATATATATATATATATATATATATATATATATATATATATAAAAATAAAAAGAAAGAACGTTAAGATATATAATCCGGTTTTCTTATTGATATTTTTTTTTTTTATATATATATATATATATATATATATATATATATATATATATATATATATATATATATATGTATATTTTAATTCAAACAGGTTTGGTTAAATAGTTTAGACGCATTATCTCTATTTATTTTAGTTTTATTCTTTTCGAGTCCACGAATTAATTTCTTAACTTCTTTCGGAGAAAATTGATTATGAAAAATAGCAAAATTTTCTTTGAAATAATTTTTATTTTCCCAAGTACTTTCAATCTCAGCTGAGTTCATCTTCACGGAGTTAAATTGTCTGTGGTTGTATACGTAGTTCCGTAAATTCAAAATATTTTTTCACAGTTCTTTTTGTTTTGCAGCGTTCCAGGGTCAAATTCAAATTCAAGAGATTTTTTTTTTTACTATGCAAAGAAGGTAACTTTTGTATTTATTCATTTCTTCTTATTATTATTATTGTTTTCATATATATGAAACTTTGCTGCTACAAATATTTAAGAACTGTGTTGCTATATTCAACAAGTATAGCAAAAAAGTTCTTAAATGCAATAAGTTTAATGTTAGAAATAGTCATACTCGATTAACAAGTACACGCCCAATATATATATATATATATATATATATATATATATATATATATATGTGTGTGTGTGTGTGTGCGTGTATATGCGTGTATGTGTGTGTGTGCGTGTTTTCAGGCGAAGCTATTTATAAAGATTTACATACATTCATTCGCAGTTGTTCAGAAAAAGTATTTATATGCATGGCTACTGGGAAAAAGCAATTTATCCCTAACTATTTTACCTTATTAATGATAAAAATGTTATTCTCATAGTCAAACTACCAGTATATATATATATATATATATATATATATATATATATATATATATATATATTTACTTATTTAAAAGATTATAACATAAGTATGTTATAACTTAACTACAAAAAATAGCCATTTTGTTTCAACATTTCTGGTGTCTTGATAAGTGATTTTTTTTTGTTTTTTGGGTTTTTATTACAATCAACACCATCACTTGACAAAACACGAGAAGTCTTGAAACAAAATGTCTATTTTTGTAGTGATGTTTTAACATACTTATGTTATAATTTTTAAGTAAATATTATTCGTTCTACTTTGTATTGAGCACTTTTAAAAAAAAATAGTGTTTTTGGTTACTGGAATTTTATTCCATCTATACTAACCTTGTATTCGGGTATATAGATATATATTATAGATCACCCATATACACGATGGGCTTCTTTTCAAAGCAGTTCATGATAAAAAATGATGAGGTAACTATATTATTATTAATTACACATTTTAATTTGTATTGAAAGACGGTCAAAGAAGGTTTACTGTTCCATTTCATAGTTAACACGTTACGTGAAAATCGGGAGTAATAGCTTAAAACAGGTGTAGTCTTTTCAAAAACAAATAAGTATATATTTTTATTAAATATTAGTTAAGAATAAGTAAATTTTATTTCGCCCCGGAAACGAATGAAATTCACAAAAAATGTCAT